CAAGGAATAGAGAGGGCAGACAGAATGTTTTGTGTGTAGAAGAGCACATAGGCTAGTTTGGCTGGATTGTAAAGTGTGTGAAGGAAGTGATGTTTAGTAAGTCTGGAAAAGTAGCCTGGAACCATATTGTACAAGGCTTTAAATACCAAGCAAAGAAGTTTGTATTTGGGGGCAGCTAGGTGGCACAGTGGATAAAGCACCAACCCTGGAGTCAGGAGGATCTGAGTTCAAATTTGGCCTCAGACACATAACATTCACTAGCTGTGTGACTCTGGGCAAGTCACTTAACCCCAATTACCTCACCAAAAAAAAAGTTTGTATTTAGTCCTACAGACAAGAGGAAGCTACTGGAGCTTCCTGAACTGTGGGCCGTGTCATAGCCAGACCCATGCTTTAGGAATATCACTTTGGTTTTGTTTGTTTTTTGTTTTTGTTTTTTCACAGTGTGTTTGTTTATTGATTTTAAAAAATATTTGACAGAGCAAAATGTCACCTTATAGGCTCTCTCCTGACAGAGTATCTCCCATCCCTACATCGATATAATCAAGATTTCTTGAAAGCTATAACAAGAGATATATTGTTCAATGCTCCACTCATTAATATTAGGCAAGGCATAAGACATGGAGATGTTTGCTAAAGGTGCTTGCATGAGACCTTGGGAATTGTGGTGGATTATTGTATTGATCAGAGTTATCTTTATAATATTACTGTTTCTGTGTACTTTGTTCTCCTGGTTCTGCTCACTTCTCTTTTCGTCAGTTCATACAGGTCTTACCAGATTTTTCTGAAACCATCCCCTGCATCCTTTTTTTAATGTTTTTTTTTTTTAATTTGTTTTTATTTATTTTTATTAATTTAATTATTTTTAGTTTTCAACATTCACTTCCACAGGACTTTGAGTTCCAAATTTTCTCCCCATCTTGTCCCTCCCACCACCCTAAGATGGCATGCGTTCTGAATACTCTTCCCCTAATCTGTTCTTCCTTCTATCACCCTGCCCCCTTCTCTTATCCCCTTCCCCTTCTATTTTCCTGTAGGGCCAGATAGATTTCTGTACCCCTTTGCCTGTATATCTTATTTCCCAGTTGCATATAAAAACAATTTTTAACATTTGTTTTTTAAAACTTTTGAGTTCCAAATTCTCTCCCTTCCTCCCTTCCCACCCATTCTTACTGAGAAGGCAAGCAATTCGATATAGGTTATACATGTGTAGTCATGCAAAACACTTCCATAATAGCCATGTTGTGAAAAAATAACTATATTCCCCTTCATCCTATCCCCCCCATTTATTCTATTCTCTCCTTTGACCCTATCTTTCCTCAAAAGTGTTTGCTTCTGATTACCCTCTCCCTTCTATCTGCCCTCCCTTCTATCATCCTCCCCTCTCTTATCTCCTTCCCCTCGATTTTCCTGTAGGGTAAGATAGATTTCCATATCTAATTGAGTGTGTATGTTATTCCCTCCTTGAGCCAAATCCAATGAGAGTAAGATTCATTCATTCCCTCTCACCTTCCCCTCCACTGTAAAAGCTTTTTCTTGCCTCTTTTATGTGAGATAATTTACCCCATTCTACCTTTCCCTTTCTTCTTCTCCCAGTACAATCCTCTCTCACTCCTTAGTTTTATTTTTTAGATATCATCCCTTCATATTCAATTCAGTCTGTGCCCTCTCTCTCTCTCTCTCTCTCTCTCTCTCTCTCTCTCT